CCAGATTATCTCTTGCTTGAATGGTAGAGCAGTTAATGCATTGTAGTTGTTCTTCTGTAGCTTTGCAATCTTTTAATTCATGCACAGCAGAGCATCTCGGACAGGAGACATTTTTCTTGCAGTTCCTAACAGAATGATTGAAGCCGTTACACCTATAGCACCGGATGACATCCACAGCGTCATAAATGTTACAGCTATAGTCAGGATCACGAAGCAATGCGTACACGTCACGGACTCTGTATGACGTCATGCGTCTACCACGTTTATTATACAAATGAATCGGTTTGAAAACTGTCAACAAACATGTGGGCTTGTTATTGTTTTGGTTTGTTCTATTTATGATTATAGCATGAGAAGACCGTTAGTGTGAAGCAACAGTTTAGAAATAAGCTACACTTGCAGTGTTTCAGCATACAAGGGCATGCTGCAGGCTGCATAGACGCTATGAATTACAAACTCAGGCACAGGAAAGATCACGACTGTAACCCCTTTCACGTGTTCCTAGTCACTGAAGCCTGCCACTCACGTTCCAACGCCGCGGTACAATTGTGTAGGATATGACAAAATTGAAGTGTTTTCGAACATCTGTGTATGCGATCAAGCAAATCGGTTGGATGTGGACGGTTGGTGAACAAGTCTGTCTGCAGCAGTACAATCGTGTTGTATTGGTTGGAAACTTAATCGTGTGGGAACAGTGTATGTTATACAAACCGTGAAAGCAGGTATAAAAGTCCATTTTCTTCGGACATGTTGCCACCACGATCGCAAATTTTTAACTGCAAGGTCGTAACGTGTGTGTACTGCTGCTTTTCAGCAGAATTGTACAGCAGTTGTATCCAATACAATCGTACCCCGGCGTTGGAACGTGAATGACTGGCTTTAAGAACGTTCATTTTTGCATTGACTGCTGGTAAAAACTGCTGACAATTGGGTGTTAAACACATACTTGGAGGGTGGTACAAGGCTTCATACTGTACTTAAAGCTACCAACGAGAATGTTAACATACGTCTCAAACAGACAGCATTGAACAGTTGTGACAAGCTTCAAGTTAGAGAAATATGCTTACCGTCTTCAATGCCACAATAGGCACGTCACATCTACAGAATAAGTTACTTTATTGACATGGAATAGATACAAAAGTAAAGTATAAACAATAATAAGTATGCATGTTGCACAACGTCGTCGTCTGACCAGTGATTTGTATATTTGGCCAGTGAAGTGATAGTGTGATTATAAAAGACATCAGCAGAACATGCCGCTAGTACAATCAATTAGGATGGTAATGGAAAATAACCTACATGTTACAGTGGCTGAATGCCCTCTGCAGTATTAGAATCTTCACTGTCATAATCACTAAAACTATAATGTGAATCTTCGTTAATGTCGATTATAAACGGCGCAATCTCTTCACGGTCAAATACTAATTCCCGTTCCCACCACTCCCGTATTATTTTATTCATATGGTCAACAGTATTTTTCCACATTGTGGGCGTGACATGTGCTAACGCTTCTTTCCACATTTCCACGGAATTTTTTGACCATAACCATCACGCCCAATGTGTTTGGAATAAAAATTTGTAGTAATTCCCCAAATATTTTCTATAGGGTTAAACACACAATGATATGGCAGCAATCGCAATACTCTATGGCCATTCTGTTGGCCCAATTCACGGCAACATACGTTTTTGGAGGTTTATTTCTGAAAAACATGATATTTTAAATGAAACGATAGAGAATAGTATATGCATTACTGTGCAACCAAATGAAGAAGTTCCGTTTTTAACAGCTGTGAATCTGAACTTATGTCATGTTGTTAAAGCCATTCACGAATTTCTGCTTTTTTCCATGAACCACTGGGACATTTGTTTGCAAGGGTACTGTGGTAGCTTGCATTGTCTATAATAATCTGTGATGGTTCTTCAAGGTTCATGAGCAATTGAAACCACTTGAGAAAATTCTGTTGATTCATTTCGCCATGATAGTCTGGATTTTTGGTATTAGAAGAAAATACTAGCGCTGCTTCATCAATAAATCCATTGCTTGTACCTGCATGTAATACAATATACCTAAAATATAGTGAGAAGAATAAATAACTAACGTGAAACTGACACATTACTAAATTTTCCCTTCTATTTTGAACATCCTGATACTTATGACACTATCGTCTTGCAATGACCTAACTACCGAACCATTTTCAAATATCCATGTTTCATCAAGATATACACATGGCAAAGAATTTGGGTTCTGCTGATTGTGCATGTATTCACGTAAGAATTTGGTTCTTGCATGAACAACATGTTGTAATTCCATAAGACGCTTCCGTACACTGGTTGGCGAATAACGAAACCCAATTGAGAATGTAAAATTTTTCCTAACGAGCTCACAGAACCCTCAAATATATGTTTCTCCTTCAAGCAATCAATTAATGGCGATCGTGTAACATGTATTTCTGTAAAATAGTCGTTAGTATCTATAAGGCGTGAGCATCAAATTCATACTTTCTTCGATCATTCCATATAAGCATTCTCAAATAGCACACTGCTCCGAAGTGCTAATATCACACACTTGCTTTGTTCGGGGGTCTCTATTTCTTGGGAGAATGTACACCTTCTCCGGTTTTTATTTGTTGTACCACGGAGTTCACTGTTCGCACACATACACCCAGAGCAGCAGCAACCCTCTGTACAATGTGACTGCATTAGTAATTGTAATAAAATACACCTACTTACGTCTTGAACAGCTGTTAGTGGTAAAAGAGGTTCCCCGCTATCGCGTTCTTTAGCAAAATAGTCCACTAAATTATCGTCCATTTGCTTTACATCTTTGTGCAAGAGCTTCGGCATGGTGGAATGTTTACGTTCAAGCAAGCGACACGTACCACGGTACAGGACAGTTAACTTGGAGTACTATAAAGAACTGTTATAGTTCTGAAAAGAACTGATACGATTACACGAGCAGAAAAGTAGAAAAACGCGAAAAATCAAACAATAACACAACATAACCAAAGTTGACACCAATGACACTTGTGAAATCGATAAAACTTTAGCATATGTTTCGCTATCAGTCGTACCAATATAATTTCCCCCAAATTGATCGATTTTGATCCGTATTGCCACGTATTGCGGCGCGTATTTTTGATTTAGTGTTGGTAACGGATCTACGTCATCCATGACGTGTACGCATTGCTTCGTGATCCTGAGTATATCCAAACCAATTAAACAATGACCAAAATTTAACGCATTTTTGTAGGATGAAATGTCAACTTGCAAAATTACCTGAAAGGTTTTCTGGCGATTTTTTATCGGTGCATATTTCAGAAGAGTGCACTGAGTAGTTTCAGAAAAGATATGTTTATTCTGTTTTAACAAAAAAGGAACAATCATCTCTTCACCTATATCATCAGAGATGCCCGAAATACGTATACGAGGTAAAGGCGTCTTAACATCATGAATGTCATATTTTTCATCAAGTTTTTTATTTTGTACAAGCTTTTTTAGTTCATCAGGATTTCGACAATTTAAGAGCACTCCACCGTTTCTAATAGACTTCACTCTTGCAATCCCAAGTTCATCAGTGTTTTCCGGATTAAAAGTTGTAATAAGGTCGGATTTCGTTTGTGTGGTTGTTTGAGCAGCATTTTTTGGTTTCACTACCAGAGCAGAAGTACTTTTAAGTGTAGCAGCATATAATACCGCAGGTTCTTTAGGAATTTGAGCATCACGATTGGAATATTGTTGGATTACTGTCCTAATTTCTTCACGTAATAAGTAATTTTCGTGCTTTAAATCAGCAACTTGCTGGTTAAGTTTATTAAAACTCTCGGAAACTACGCGGGAAAATTCTGTAAATACTTCTTTTAAAAAGTCTGGAAGTTTTTGTAATGCCTCACTATCAATCAATGATGGGCATGAAACATCACCCGGATTTTTAAGAGAAAAGGGGCTACAGAAACCACAACCCCATGTTTGTAACAAGCCTGTTTCTTTCAAAGATGCTACCGCTAATTTATTTAAGTTAACGCATGCTAGGTGATAATTTGCCCCACATTCTTTGCGACAATTAATGTAGTCATCTGCCCTGCCTATAGTCTTATTGCATTTTCTGGATTTAATTGCCACATTTAAGAGCAAAAGAAATCCCCCTGACGGGGGAAGTCAGTAAACGATATCGGATGACACTAATAAGAACTTGGATAAGAAAAACTTAAAATAAATTAATTATTAGAATAGAGAGCAAAAAAGACACTCATCTACCAATCTTATCAGTTGAATAGAAAGTATCCAAAGGAGGAAAACTAGTAAAAATTTGCAACCCTGTGCAAATTAACCACCCAATTCACCACCTAAGCACAAGCGCACACTACATATAAACTGACTACAACCCATTGAATTTATTTGCGGGTAAGTTAGTAAAAAATGTCTGTCCCTAATTTAATTATAGATGATTATTGATTACCTACTATTAATATATGGTGCAACATGTTTAACAGTACAAAAATATCGCTAATACGCGTATATGCCGCTCCCTTTTCGAATTTTAAAATAAATATGAAGTCATCGTTGACCGTATGGCTGCAATACCCTTAAAGGAAGAACATGACATCGTATCGCTGACGTCACAAAAGCAATATTTATTGTGCGTTCAGGCGATGAATTGAAACACCCGCTATGTCAATCAACTTGATAATAAAAAAACAAATCGAGGGAACTTGGGTAAGTACACGATGACTTATGGAGCAACTAACTGTAAAAAAAGCCACAATGCAATCGAACGCAGGTAGTGAGCGCAATTCGGATTCCCCCGAATAAATGTTCGCATAGTCCAGAAAACATTATTCTGGAACATCGTTAACTATCTATAGTCCACAAAATTTACCTCCAGACTATTTGGCTTTTTATATTGGTTTATTTTGATTTTTCAGTGCAAGTGCAAAAATTATTTTAAGATAAATATCGATAACGATAACCACATTATTAAGAGATAAATAATACTTAGATATACGGTATTTTAAAATGTGATGTGATTGGCCATCGTGGATGCGTTGACATGATATCCAATATCTTGAAATCAATTATTATTAAATAGTAGTGACAAGATGTGGTTATATTTGTGCTGTTACATTTTTTGCAGTGTATTAATTTCGGGCGAGGTGATCACACTAATAAACGAAAATAAAATTACATGTGTTTTAACTGAAGGTTCTGTCAACTCTACTCTAGATGTAAACCCCGAAGGCGGTTTAAATAACGTTCGGCGAAGAGTGCAAGAAATAACCAACTGGAAAAAAAGTGACTGGATTTTGAAAAATTCTACTCATTTTAATTTCGGTCCAGTACTTGATCAGCGCTGGACAGGTGAGAACAATAAGAATTAAAATCTTGGATTACCCATTCAGTTTTAAAGATTTTACTGGTATCGGGAACGAAGATACAGATCTATCCGATCGAGAAACATTTTCGGTTTGTACAAGGAATGAGTGGAACATTACTGTCGCTGCTTCTGGCGACAGGAAAAATGTTACAATACCAAGACACGATATAACTTGGTCATTAAACATACAATTTGTTTTTTTTAAAATAGATTTATTAGCTTTACAAAAGTCATCATGTTCGTGGCGACATTATACACCAAGAAAAACTGGTTACGGTGTAATATTGACATCCGTCAGGAACGAAATAATAAACACAAGTCTAAAATTTGACGCGTTGTGGATTAATTTTCCAAATGATAAGAACTATAAATTACACAGATGTAAGAATTATGGTCTAATAAGAGGGATTCAGTTAAGCAAAGATATATTTTGTAGATGAATTTCTGTTTGCGAACACTAGCAGTACAGAAGTTTCCTATATTGTTGTAAATTTTACACAGTGTGTTACATTCTATGTCTCCGTAGACACAGGGTGTTATCTGAATATATCACTAAGTTCAGAACGGTCTAGTAAATCGATAAGAGTAGATGGATTCAATGAGCAAAATACTTTCAGAAAATGGAAAAAATACGAAATGAGAAATGAAATTGGCGTAAGTGGAATAGTTTCTTTTTTCCGGGGACGGAACGATAGTAGCACCATTGGTTTTTGGGCAATTGATGATATTCACAGCTGCGACTCTGAAATAGGTAAGAGTTTTCTAGAACCGACGCAAAGACCAACAGTGTAGTGGCCAAATCCATATTCGAATTTTAAAGCATCAGTGGCGTGTATAAAAGTTTATTGTTGCATTAAAATATCAGTTTTGTCCCCATTTTCAGATAAAAGTTACTGATAATGGAAATTAATCGTATAAAATATATTCCTAGCTAACGTCCGACACAAATAATGAGCAGATAAAATAAACTGTCACCTTTTTAAATTAGCTTACAAAATGTGTTAATAAGGGTTCGAAATGAGTACTACACTATGAAGCCAATTTAGCAAGTAAGACATGGAAAAATGAAACGTGTGAAATTCTGAACTTCAATGAATATTCAAATAAAACTTGCAACAGCAGTTCTTTTGGAAAACAGTGTCAAATTAAGTGCTCCACAATTTTAGGACCTTCCTATCTTAACTGTGAAAAACATAGAATATGTTCATCAGGAGGTAGATGCCATTGTGCTTGGGGATACGAGGGAACAAACTGTACAGAAGGTATGTGCATGCTCAGTAGGTACATAGATAAGTAATGTTTTTTGTATGTAGTTTGTGAAAAGGGTTCTTGGGGCATAGATTGCAAAGAAAAGTGTAATATTAATTGTCAAAAATGCGACAGGATGTCAGGTTGTACACAATGCAAGAAAAAATATTTCGGAGCAAACTGTACATTTGAACTTCCAGTCGTACGAAAACCGCCTTCTTTAGAATCCGTAGGAGAAGATTTTGTCAAAATTTCAATAAACTTTGAATATGGTGTAAATGAAGCAACACCCGAGGCGTATGTACTTCAGTTTAAATATGTAACCACAAAGAAACATTTTTGATTGATTCATTACGAATGTAATTTTAGTTAAATAAGAAAAATTTCCACAATGTCATGGCAGTCAAAGATTATCCTGGTAGTACGAAAAATGTATCGTTGAGATTGAAAATCTCAAGAGAACACTCTTATGTAATCAGAATTATACTAATCAGTTACAGTCTGTCGTTTCAAGACAGTACTGTGCCGCGGTCTAGGACAATTCGGCGCGGCCGACTTGGCGCGGCCAACTTGGCGCGGCCGGCTTGGCGCGAAATATTTTGGCGCAAAGCCAACTTGGCGCAGGGACACTTTGGCGCAAGCCATCTTGGCGCGGGCCATCTTGGCGCGGATGAACTCACACCAAGAAAAATAATATAAATATACAAAAATTGCAGCCGTTGTTAGCATAACCTAATTTTTATAGTCACCAACGCGTGGAGGGGTAATGCCGACTGTTTAATGGACACACGGGCGCTTCGCGCCCTACACCCCATTATAAACATACTCCTAAACGTGGAACTTCTTGCTCCGTGGATCATTAAGTTATTGGAATTCGTGCGAATGAAACTGTGTATTTGGTTGCCTACATTTGGCATAAATAACAGGGTGCTAACCACAGTACGAACAAGAAATATTTTTTATATTATATGTCGACGTACTCGCGCCAAGATGGCTCGCGCCAAGATGGCTTGCGCCAAAATGTCCCTGCGCCAAGTTGGCTTTGCGCCAAAATGGCTCGCGCCAAGTCGGCCGCGCCAAGTCGGCCGCGCCAAATAGTCCCATTCCGGTATTCTTAGAACGTTATTTTTGTATCCACTAAAATTTGATTATTATGTGAGGTTAAATACGGTAATAACTACATAAAGGGACTCTATATAACACTGTGTACAATTTATAATACGTGTTTAACTAAAAAAAAACGATTCTACAGAGTTAAAAGTAAGTATTAACAATTCAAAATCAAAAACTCTAAAATTTTAGTGGATACCAAAACTAGCACTTATTAGACTGTAATTCCAGTTATAGAATAAGAATATACAATATGCAAGTTCTGTTTGATATTGTTTTAGTGCAAGAAACCGTTTTGTCCAAGTGATGTTAAGACAGGACATAACACAATCAATAATGGAACAACTCTGGAATTAAACGATATCAGCTACTTAGAAAAATGTACTTTCAGGTTATTTAGTACAATAAAAGAACATGTACAACTGATAGATCAAACAACTATAAATCTTCGAAATTTAACAAAGGAGATAGAAGATGTAGAATTTCCGAAAAATGTCACTCTAACGAAAAAACACATTCTTATCGAATTAAATGAATGCATTAAATTTTCTGCATCCTTAAATTATTCACTAAAAGTCACATGCATAAGCAGGTGGTGTACGAACGAATCCACTGAAATTGTTGCATTTGATTTAAAAAAATATAGTGCGACATTTTTAATAGATGCAAAAAATTTGTATGCATTTACAGACTACAACATTACAATAGAAGCAAAAAGATTTGGCCAAAAAACAAGATATCGAGTGTATTCCTACAGATCAACACCACTGATGAGTAACCATAGTCTATCCAACAAAACCAATGATTCATTTGTTTTATTTTAGAACCCCACAGTGTAAAAGATTTATTCCTATATTCTGTTAATAGAAGATTATTTATAAAGTGGAAAGAACCTTATCCACCAACAGGACAAATAGAATCCTACAATGTTACTCTTCGATATACCCCTAACACAACTACGAAGTCCACGAATTTTACATTTCCTTGCGAAATATGGGGTGGTTTTATATGTGCAAACATAATACTAGCTGAAAATTTCACTGCTGTTAACATCACAGTACGTTTGTGATTAAAAATTAGAATGTCGTTACACTGTAGGTTTAAAACGTTGTTCTAGGTACAGGCAAAGAATTATGACGTGTCTGAATGGAGTGAGGTAACAAGTGTGTTTGTGCCACAAGAAAACGGTTTGAGTTTTTTATATTCACAATAACACAGAAAACTTGTATGTGCTTGTAGTAATTTTTGCCCCCGGACATTTGCAAGTTCAATTAAGTCAACCAAACGAAATGATTATTTCGTGGAAACACCCGGTATACACAAACGGAAAAATAAAAGCGTTTGAAATTGTGGTAGACGATGGTGAAGAAGAAACACGTTTTACAGAGGAGATTTCAAGCGAAAATTTAAGTTACAACAAAACTGTAGAATTACCATGATTGTAAGTAGCGTTTTATTAAAAAGAGTGATGTTTTAGATTAGAATAGAATATGAGAAAAGATATAACATATCTGTATGGGGACAAAATGTAGACACTAGAGGCAGAAAGGCAACTATTTACGCAATATTTTCTAAACCTGTTCCTGAATTTTCGACCATCCCTTTCTTAACAACGTGTGGACGAACTTGTTCCTTAATACCACCCACGGCAAAGTCGCAAAAAATAAAAAAAATCACGGTCATAATAACAAAAAACAATGAAGACCAAGTTTTTTGTTCAGAAAATGTCACATTCTGTGACACAGGTCTTCAAATGCAAGATATTTGGAAACAAAAGTACTATTTAAAAATAGATAACGCAACATTTCCAATTGAGTTTACTGCAGTGGATGTTGATATTAAAAAAGCAGAGTTATTCTACGTGGCAATTGCCTTGTGTGCAGTTTTAATGATTATAATCGGATTTCCATCTTACCTTGTGTTAGCTGAACTCATCTTGTTTTTAAACATCGAAGATAAATATTGTTTTGTAGATTTAAAAGACGGAAACAAATTTTCAGAAAACATAGTAACACAAATAGTGAAAATACTGCTATGTTAGAGTTTGAAGAAAAAAAAAATTCAACAGAAAACGACAATTCGCTTTGTAGGGAAACTAAACTGAGCGATTTTAAAAATTATTTCCTGGCATCGCTTGACGACAATAAAATAATACAACAATTTAAGGTTGATTCCAACACTTATGTTTATTAATTTTCACACTGTTTACTGTAGGTAATATCAAAATTTAGAGATCGTAGTTGTACCCGAGAACTGGAAAATTTCGACTTTGAAAATTATTTACCTCGTAAGGAGTGTCAGTTTAGTTTTAGATTAAATGGCCGTTTGCACCAGTTCTGGTTAAAATTTAACCGGCCGTTATTTTGTTAATTTCGTTGCACCGCGTACTAACCGTAAGTTAACTCGAACTAACGACGACCAAATTTAATCGGCAGATTGGGTGGTGGTTAAGCGGTGGTTAAGTTAACAGACACTATTTGTAAAGATGGCGGCGCGTGATCAGCTGTGCAGCTCTCATTAAATATATCTTACACAAGATACATAGAAAGAATGGTACACCGACTTTTGACATTTGTAATGAAAACAGTTTACTCAATTTTAGGGTCCAGATGAAATCTCACCTAGATGGCGCCAGCGTAACGGGGGACTGTCAGTGTTGACATTTGTCAAGTATGGGTGCTGTCATCGCTGTCATGCTGTGTTGGTCGTTAAAAAATAACGTGTTGATTATGTTATTTTTGTGATTTTTTAAAGTTATATCTGGTTTCGTCGTGATTGTTGCGTAAGATTTTGAATGAAAATTACCCGAACAGTGAATGTTTGACGAAGAATAACGCAAAAGTTGTGCGATTAGTGGGGTTGTTTTTATCTTACGCCAGTCTGTTTCCAAGAAACGCTGAAAATTGTTTACTTTGGTACTGAAGTTATTTTTAATCTAAGAAATAAAACAACGGTGTTCTGGGATAACTGAAATCGTTCCTCATGCATATTTTAACGTTAAATTCAATTTTAAAACATGAATTACCAAACAGATAACTAAATGTCGAAGAAAATCAAAGAGAAAACAAGAAATAAGAAAGTAAAACAAAACTAAATTAATAAATCTGGTTGAAAAAAGGTAGTCATAATAATTTCATACTAATTTCGCTAATTTGGCGTATTTCTTAGAAGTTCTATTATCAACGCTTCTTTTCCTGCTTTCTTTTTTGCATGCAAAACTCATTCTTAATATTAAAAATGAAAAAATAACTCTCTTAGTTAAACTAAATTTGTGTTGCATGCACCCTATAAAATGATTAATTTTTCGTTTTTCCAATTCATGAAGGACGTCAAGTAGTGCATTTCGTTTCACATCTGATTTCAGAGTTCCGCCAATCACAGCTTCTACTTGTTCTAGAAGTGTTAGCAGTTCTGAAGATGGAAATATTAAATGCCCTCTACTCTTTAAGGCGATGAACGTATTAAAATTTTCCACGCCGTTTCCGATGATGGTGTTTTTGCAGTCTTGACATGCTTCAGACTTATATTTTCGGGCAAGGAACCCACAGACGTAAGCGAACGCTTCTTCGTTGTCCTTGAAATTGATCTCTCTTCCAGCTGAGATGTCTTCATCTAGAATTCGGTCCAACTGAAGGTCAATTTCTTGCTTTGTATTCGATAAACTCTCTGATGAAATGCAGTTTAGGATATTTTGCTTATCATTTACAAGAACTTCAAGCATATTGCCACCAGTAACATTACTACCTTTAGGTGGCTTTACCAATGAATATAAAGACATCAGTCTAAAGATCTGGGCGATTTGAACTGATTCAGCACAGTTATTTGAGCCACCACAATCACGTAGAAGTCCAAAAAAATGTTCTAATGGATCCTGGTTAATTCGTGACGTCATTAAATAAGTGAAATTTAAGGTTTCAGTGCAATATTTTAGTAAGTCGAGGGTTGTGTTTATTGTGGCCCTCAAACCATCTGCAGTATTTTTAGTCAAAAAATGTTCTTGGTCAGCACACGATTCCCACAAATCTAAGTATATTAAGAAGTCTTCTAACTCCTCATACTGTGGTGACTGTAATCGCAGCGCACTAAAACCATTACTCGAATTCAAGATGTCAGACAGCTTGTTGATGCGTCTACAAAACTCTATTGTAGCTTGACAATCAAGAAATCCAGGTATATTTTTACTGTTTAACATTGACAGAGCATCAGCAACGGTACCACTGAATAACTGAAAAGCATAGCGCGTAGTCATTTTTTCATGGTTTTGTGGATCAACATGTTTTAGTGTTAATTTGGGTGCCAATTTAAATTCAAATTGAGCGTCATATTCAATTAACCTTTGAAAATGGACCAGCTGAACATGACCTGTGGGCACGTGGAATTCTTTTTTGGCAACAAGTCTATTCCTTAAGCACTTTAGCAAATGTGGAAAGTCTGAACACATCCTCAATTTTCTAACATCATTGCAGGGATGGATAACCCATGGAGCCTGTGGATTACCTGCACCCAAATGCTTCCACATTGATCTATTCCATGTCGCTCCATCAGATGTCACCACATCAATAAAGAGTCCAGCTGCTTCACAAAGAACTATTGCTTCCAAAATTAGTTTTGCCTGAGTACTTCCACATACATTTCCTTTTGACAGGAAGCAACCGACTGCCTGCATATTTTTTCCGGCAAAGGATTGAAACATTATGACTAGAACATGGTCACCTAATTGGTCTCTTTGAGATATTGGAGTGTAATCACCCAAATCAACAAAACCTAATACTTCCAAGCGATTTTTGTCAAAATGTTTGCTGGGTGTTATCTTACATTCATCTACCATTAAAGTACCATGACGTTCATATTCAGGCATAGAGTGACACTTTACTTTTAATAATTCAAATAACTTTGTTTGAAATCCGTAGCTGCTGTCGATGTTTTTTATATATCTAGATATTGTGCTTGGTGCAGGTAGTGGAAGTAACTCTCTGTTCCGTAAATGGCGATATAGCTTTGGACTTTTTATTCTTATCAGAATACAAGAATATATCCAGTCTTTGGTGTATCTTTTCCCATTAGTTTTTTGTGTTGCTGTATTCAAACATGTTTGTACTACCAATCTTTGATTTTCAGGTAGTTTAGATAATACCGCGCCCATGTTGTTTATTTTTGCCATCCTTTTGTGCAAACTTTCTATTACATTTGTTTTATCATGTAGTTCTCTTTTCAAATGTACGTAGTTCTTTTTCATTTTTCTTTGCTTGTTCGCAAACTTTTGGCTATGGCCACTGAACGAAAAATTTTTTTTTAACAAATTTTTGCGAAACAGTGCGCAAGATAAACAGCGTCTGGTGTTGTTCCTTGTATTCTCCCCATTACAGTTTTGGCTAGTTTTGTTTCCTATTCCAGTACCGTGACACAAAGTTACTGCATCCACTTTTTTGACCAGATCAAGAACATCTTGAAAGTTCGTGAATGTGGTATCGATCATGCGGCAAATATTATTCAAATATATTTTTGAAATTTCTCCTTCAATAACGATGGCTTTGTCTATTCTTGGGACGTCAGTTGTTACGTGGCTTATAATAATTTTATCTGGCAGTTGATGAATACCCCATGTGAGAGGCAACAATTCACAAATTTCTGAATAATTGTTTCTCAACATACTGAGAGTATCCGAGGATAAAGTTTTGATTGGGGAGGAACGTGATATAGGGTTTCTCTGTGTGGATGTATCGTTTTCAGGATCTGCATTACTGAAAAAAAGATGCGCGTTTTTATTTATTCACATACGTATATGTATTTCAACGAACTCATTGTAAATTTTAAATATTGACGAATATTATATAAAAATCATCAAGAATAGCAAAGATGTCTCCTTTAGTGTAGCGTAACTAAAGTAATTTTCCACTTTTTGGACATGACTCAACCAAATGGTAAGTCATGAAAAGTGAGGCTGTTTAGAAATACATACCTATATATCGATAGCATTTCAACTGGATGGGTTTTATTGCTCCTAGGATATTGTTTAATAGGATGGGTACTCTGGTAGGAAATGTCATTTTTGGTATTGGTATAACCGAAGTTTACAACTGGATCATCTGGTGTGGAATTTCTTCAAATAATATGAACGGCAGGCTATTAGGATAAATCAGGATATTTTATACATACATATTTCCTTGTAGTGGTGGAAATGGATAGGTTTGTTCCTTTTTGGGGCATGTAGGAAAAGGATGTGTGGAAACACAGGAATTTCCAATGCTTGCACAACCTAAATTTATAGTCGGTATAGCATCAGGAGTTAATGTTCTTCGAACAACATGTTCATGATCATAGTGTATTCTTATATATTTGTTTTCAAAATGCTGCATACAAATATATGTCTTGGGAATAAATAAAAACCCGGCAGCTTCAGTCCAGACTTTTATTCTTTTTCCATCCTATAAATAATCATATTTTTGAAAAAAAATGGTCTAAATAGTGTTAGCTGTTATTGAATTGTTATTTACCGCAGGAACCCGAAATAACGAAATATCGCGACTGAGAAGTTTAATATGCCCACAAAGAACACACTTTTTCATTTTGAACGGCTAGAGAACGGCTCCCTTTTACAATTTGTGGTGTTTCTGCTGCAAACACGCTGTAAATTTCAAAAGCGTCTATTAATGTCAACTTTGACAGCGCATTTGACGGTCCCTCGTGTACTACTGCGCCATCTAGTGGAAAAATTTTAAACTAACATCTGGTTCCTACATTTGGGTATCAATTAATGGCGGAGTCGGTATACCATTCTTTCTATGTATCTTGATCTTACAAGTGTGGCAAGTGGCGTCTTTGGTGTGTGAGCCATATCGTTGTGTAGAAAAAAAGAAAAATGATGGAAATTGAAATAAGAATTAATGAGGATGAGGAGGATGTGGAGGATGTTGAAGTACTCGACTTCATCTTCAATGGTTTGCCTCGACAACTTTATACGCGTCATAACCACTTTGATACTCTGGACGATGCAGCTTTTCGTCGTCGATTTCGACTGTCCAGAGCGTGTGTTCTCGATCTATTAATATCGATTGAACGTGAATTGGAATTCCCATCTGATATGTAAGAATATTACCTATGTAAAAATATTTGTTACCAAAACAACAATCGAATTTGCTTTTAGGAATAATGCTGTTTCGCCCATGAATCAGATTTTGACGTGTTTGCGAGTGTTTTCGACAGGAGGACACCTTCAGAACATAGCTGATTTTATGGGGATGCATTTGTCGACAGTGTCACGAATTGTGAAAAGAGTTTCCGAAGCAATTGCAAGATTGTATCGACAACATATAAAATTTCCTAGTACAAATGACGAAATGAGTGAAAATCAACGGAACTTTTTTTCTATTAGCGGATTTCCAAAAGTTGTAGGGGCCATTGATTGTACCCACGTAAAAATTCAATCTCCCGGTAATGTTTTTCATATATTTTATTGAAATTTTCAGTTATTTGTAAATTTTAGGTGGAGTTGATGGAGAAATATATCGCAATAGAAAACAGTACTTTTCTATCAACACTCAAGTGATTTGTGATGCCAATTTGAAAATAATGAATGTTGTTGCTCGATGGCCAGGGTCTGCCCATGATTCTAATATTTTTAACCATAGCCGTATTAAAGATGATTTTGAGGACAATGTATATCCTAATTGTCTACTTCTTGGTAAAATATAAGACCTATTACTTTTTTACCTTCAAATTTATTTATAACATTTTTAGGTGACAGTGGCTATGCAAATGGGAAGTATTTAGTGACACCCCTATTAAATCCGAGAACACCTCCAGAGCAGTTATATAATGAAAGCCACATTAGGACTAGGAATGTTATCGAAAGATGTTTTGGCGTTTTAAAGAGAAGATTCCCTATACTAGCTTATGGGTGTAGGCTAAAAGTTGACACATGTTTAATTATCATTGTAGCTGCAAGTGTCTTACATAATTTGGCACTCCGCCACAATGATAATGTGCTTCCACCTCTTCCTGAATTGGTTAATGAAGAGCAGCTAGAAAGGCTAATCCAGGATGGGCAAATAGTTGCACCTGGGGATATTAGGAACCGAAGGCATGTGGATGGAACGAGGGATTTTCTGATTCAAAATTATTTTGGAAATTTATGAATTAATTTATACGCGATCTAAATGATCTGATACGACACCTGGTGTCAAAAATGTGCACTACTCAGGAGCATAGTGAAAGATGTAAATACTGTTGGTTGTACAGTGAAATTTCGTTGTTTTATGTTAAACCAACAAAATTAAATAAGTTGGTCCCAGTATTCCTGAAAAAATGACTGTTAACAATACAAATTGTTGTGTTTTTCGCTGCCATAGCAAAAACAATAGTAACAGTGGGCTCTCTTTTCATAAATTCCCCATAAAAAACAAGTCATTTGTTTAAATGTTATGAACAGGTAAGTATTCATATCAACAGTAAATGTAGTTTAATCAGTATTTAACTAAATTGTTTTTGATTATCAGTATAATATGTATATATATATTATATTTTTAGGTTAGGAATCAGGGAAAAAAATGGACAGATATAAGACTTGGATGGTAAAGCTAAATATGGGAAAACCAGCAACAAAGCACATGAAAGTGTGTTCACTACATTGTAATCAGGATGATTTCATATTGAGGATTTGATTTGAGGACCCAGGTGGGTTAGTTAGCTTCGTGCTTGCCCACTACACCTTGGGTCGTGGGTTCGATTCCCGCCTTGCCTTTTGGGTGTTGTGTATGTCATGTTTCCTGTAATTGGGCCTCCAGCTTGTTAGAGACATCATAGGATAAAATAAATAAAAATAAAAATATTACCTGGTAAGTACAGATTTGGGTAAATGTTGTTAATGTATAATAGACAATAAATGAAATATTGTAGATGTAAGTATCATTACTAAAGAATTACTACCTAGAAGGCCCAAAAATCGAGACTTTAAAGCAGTCAGAAGTACAACAATGAGAAAATCTGAAGGTTACATAATTTCAAGTACAGATAGTACTGATGTAAATTGCTTCGACAGCAGTCAGTTACATCAAAAAACTGTTTCAAGTATGTATACATTTGATGATATTTAAAAAATACAGATTATTTTCTAGCATTAGAAATGGAAACCGTGCAGGCTTTGTTACATTTACAAAATTCACAAAAAAAGGATAAAAATATTCAAGTGACAAGTGGAGATTTAGTGGCACCTTTTATAAGTACACTTAAATCTGATAATGATTTAAATACAATGGCTGGAATACCATCCTTTCTGTTATTTAATGCTATTGTTGCAAATTGTGAGATGTTTGGAAAATTCTGTAATAAACATAAATTAAACTTGAAAGAACGTGTTCTGTTAACTTTTATGAAACTGAAAAATACATTTTCTTATGCTGTTTTAGCAGTTTTGTTTAAAACGGTGACAGCAATAACCTGTAATATTATTCATGCTTTATTATTTTATTATTATGCATTATTCCACTCATACATAGTATGAAATGAACACTTAATTTAAAAAACAATAATCGCTATAATTAATAAAGTTTTCACAGAAGTTTTAACACCACATGATTTAGCATGTGTTCACTTAAAAAGTTAAACAAAGGGTTAATAAAATGAGAACTACAAAAAAAACTGACACAAACAACGAAACAGGCTGTAAACTGAACAAATCCACTACAAAAACGCTCGATTTATTAACACAACACACTTTTTTCACACGATGGACACTTAAGACTTGCCATAAAGGATACGTCAAATATGCCTTAGAGCGGCCATGTTGCAGTTAACAGTGGCGCCCCCAACGGTCATTTAGTTCGCGTATAGTTAGCATTTTGTTAGCATTAATACTTATAAAATACAATATTAATAACACTAATAATGTTATTCATTTTCTATCCCTTTCCGTAGAGCTATTAATTGGGCCTTTTTTATTTCAATGTCCAACACTTCTTTTTGAATTTGTAGAGAACGAATCTTTTCGTCATGTTTTCTTCTCTCTTCTAAATCATGCTGATAGTTACGAGCCATTTCCTCCTGCTGCTCTTGAAATTTTCGAAAAATGGAAATTTGAATATCATATAATGTTTTTTTCTTTTCTGCCACTTCTTCATATTTTCTGGCCACATTTGTTGAAGAGTGCAAAGATGGTCTTCTCCTTGAGTGTGATGTATTTTCTTGCTGTAATGTGCATAATTGTTAAATTTTAATAAAAGAAAAACTACAACTTACTTTTTTATTAGTAAATGAAGTTGACGTTGACGGAGTTGCAGGGACTTCAATTTGTTTTTGTGTTTGCCTGTCAATGAGTGCCGCCAGTTTGGGATTCATTGGAGCCTGCAACTGGGCTGGGCATGAATTGCCCCAATCTGTCGAGTTTTCAACCTAAAAGTATAAAATGTAAACATTTACATTTTTGCAATATTTGCTTTATAACGTTACCTTTGAATTAATAGAGGGCCCCTGTAAAGTATCTTCGTATTCTTCGCAAGTACTTGCTGCGCCTTGGAATGTTTGTTCATCAACCTACAATATGTATATTTTTATATATTTATTGTACACCACCACATAAATAACTTTATTCTTACTTTTGAATTGCCAGGATCTAAATCGTCGCCATCTCCATCATAAAGGTTTTGTAATCCATAAATATTTTTTTTATTTAAAATTTCCATAGTGATCCCAAATGTGGGATCATCTACAATAGCAGTTGTGCTGCCTCCCCCGGTTCGCCTCAACTGCCTTTTTTCAACTGCAGCTTTTTTATTAGTACTTCTTTTTTGGTTTTCAAAGAAACCTTTAATATTTTCCACTGTGCGAGGTACACTACCATTTGAGTTTACCTCAGCAGTAATTTTAGTCCACGCTGCATTTTTTTCTTGCCACGTTAGAGCGTCGGTTTTTTTGTTCTCAACCACATCCTTATACTTTTCTATAACGTATAAAATTCGCAACTTTTCGTCAATGGAAAAGTTTGGTGCACGCATCCTTTTTTTCCTCTGCCTTCCATAACTTAAAAAACTGACTGCAATTAAAGCAACAATACTTACATCACTAGTAACAAGGTAATAAGTAATCAAGAGTCGCTTTCGTTTGATGCGCTAAAATGTACTCACTGAACGAAGAGTAAACAGCAGATTCAGCTGTCTCTAACCTCTTTGGTACCAGCGACTTTAATTAAAGTCTCTGTTTGGTACACAAAACCATGTGCGCACACCAATGCTACCAACGGCTATCATCAAATACCCTCAAATTTGCGACGTTGCCAAACAACGCGTGTATTAACCTTTGGTTAGTTAACATTGGGTCTTGTAACGCGCGGTGCAAAGCAAGTCTTGTTTAGCCCTATGGTTAACTTTAACGGTGGTTAGCAAACGGCCACATTTAACCAGAACTGGTGCAAACGGGCATAAAGAGTTAAATTAAGCAGAAATTTTTTTTTTTTTAGATAATGAAACTACAGCGATGAATAACGAAAGAAGACATTTAAATGCAAACTACATAAACGTAAGTGTGTTTTCAGTTACATAATTTCGAAACGAAATAAAATAAGTAATCATTTAAGAGTTACGATATGCCAAAAGCGTTCCTTGTTACCGAACCACCTCTAGAATCCACACTGCACGATTTCTGGTTCGTGGTATGCCAAGAAAACATCAAAACTATTATTATGTTAACTAAATTAGAAGAAAATGGATCCCTTAAATGCGAAAAGTACTGGCCAGATGAGCATTCACACTTCAGATTTGGAAAATTTTTAATTAGAAGTGTTTCCGTGAAAGTAAAATCTGACTACGTTCAACAAATTCTGGAAGTAAAATATGATAATGAAACTCGAGTGGTTCGCCATTTTCAATATATGACTTGGTCTAATCGAAATGTGCCTCAATCTGTTACGAATTTTACTTCTTTTGTGACAGAATTAATGGAAGATCGTGATCAATACCCATTTGTTGTGCACTGCGAGTAAGTAAAAATCACATTATTTTACCACCCAATCTTATGACAATAATTTAGTGAAAAACGGGGAAGAACAGGAATTTATATTTTGTGCGAGGTGGCTCTAAGAATGAGCATTCAAGAAGGAAAAGTAGATTTTTTAAAAACTTGTAAAGAAATAAATCAACCTGCTGGGTTAATAAGTCACTTGGAACAATATATTTTCTGTCATTTTGTGATGTTGGAATACCACTTCGGAGAAGACTTTGGTGCTTCTGACGGAAGAACTTATTTTATGCTTAAAATACAGGATGCCATGCAGGAATCTTCTTTACAACGTTTGGTGGATGACCTGGAAAAGGTTACAAAGCAGTACCACACAACTGTCAAAAAAAGCTACTTTAGAAATTTATTAGGTAAGAAATTATATACCTTAATTCAGTGTCGGATCGAGGACATGGAGATCTACACACAGATATTGTTTGGGTATATTATTGCTATTATTTTAAATTTTGTCGGCGATATTGGCGTTTTGAAAAAAAATATGTTGTTTTTGGAATTTTGATAAGGCCACCAAGAAAAACAAAGCTAATAAAAAATTGTGGAAGGTTATTTTGACAGAACTTCCCTCGCTTTTGAAGTATAGTCCGACGAAGTCAGCTTCTTTAAAAAAAAATTAAAAATTAAATTTTGCGATTTTCCTTTTGTGATAATTGTTAACCTTTATAAAGTGGCGTAATTGACATCCCCGCAGCCCCTGCGACTTTAAATGTGAAATATATTTAAAGGAAACTAACAAGAAAAAATGTTGACATTCTCAGTTTCTCAGTATATGCTTAACTTAGACTGTTTATGTTTATACTTCTACCGAATTCGACTATTAGCACATTCAGATTACAAGCATCAGTGGTTAAAATTTTGACGTTGAAGTGTTTTTTTTTATTATATTTCTTTGTAAAAATCTCAAACTCAGCGGTTTCTATTTGGATCCGATGGAATCTGGCCAAAATCTTTACAAAACCACAACTTTAAAAAAAAGAATCCTAAAATTGGGGTGAAATGTCAAAGAAAATGCATCAAAAGAACTGTACGACAAAAATTGACTTTTTTTATTTATCAAATAGAAATAAAAATCGGTTGTCTGTAAAGTCGGTTTACTGACGATAGTTGAACGTGACAACGTCTTAAGAAAATACTGATGGAATGGTAGCATTTTTCAAAAGAAAATTTTAATTTCATTTGTTTAATAGATTTGTATGTATATAGAGAAGGAGGTAATTAGAAATCACAATGAAATTGATCAAGTTAGATTTATTTATACGCATAAATACAATTATGTCAATTTTTTTTTACAATTTAATAGTTTTTACAAGTATAAATGTGCGTTGAGCAATTGTTTTACAACTGTTAAACATGTGTAATATTTAATTTCTTACAATCTGTGTTATTCTGTTGAGAATAGGACGATGATAGGAAAAGTAGGAAATGAAAGGGAGTGTTTCGAGTTTAATGTGTCTTGAAAAAGTCAAATCGATGGTGGTGCCTCCTAGTGTTGTTGAGTTATTAACGTCTGATGCACAATCGACATTAAACATGTCTTTCATGAATTTGATGAATGTTTCGTCATTTTTCACATTTGTGTTGAAGTCGCCAAAAAGAAGAATTGGTATATCGGTATCAACTTCCATGATGGGATGTACATAGTGGCTGTTATAAACATACGGAAGAAGGAGAGAGACGGATGGCGAACGCTGCCGAACGCGAAGGCCGATTGTGCCTCTTTGTCGCTCGTTCCGCGTTCTCGCTTGCACTTCAAGCCTTAAGGTAAGTGTCCACTTGCGAGAAATCGCCTCAAAATCAGCCCTGGAGAGCTCCGAGTCCAGTCGAGTAAAGACGAAACACTGATCGGCTGATCTCGCCGCGAACGATATTCTCTCCAGTGGACAAGCCAAACTGCGTTTACTTGCGAGAGATACTGTCCGTGTGAAGAAGCTTCGAATTGGGGAAGTATTCCCCGAGAGTAAGCAGTTCATCATAAATTATTTCTCGAGTAAAGCCGCCTTATTTTACACGTTTATGATTCTATGCAAACAGTCGTGAAAAGGACTACGCAATTCGGCCAAATCTGATCGTTTATCTGACTTCAACATTTATACAGCGTTTTGAGATAGGTAACACATTTTTATGAAATTATTAAATACTAAAAAAAATGTAAAACGAAAATAAATGACTAAATTATGTTCATTTGTCGTAAATCTGAAGCAAGTAATGTGAAAAGTAGACTAGATTAACTTTTTTAATTTATAATTAAACATCATAGTTTGTATAAGTGATTCTGATTATACTTCATTATTATTATTATTATTTTGTTGTAGTACGAGATTAAACTATGCACAACGAAGTAAATTCATTTTTTATTATTCAAATAACGTTTTTAAATGAATTTTTAATAATAATAATTTACATATTAGGTACTACACATGTATTGTTAAGTAGCATGAGTATTCAAAAATTAATATTTATATTTATTTTCGGTGTTTATCCACAAGTGCTTTTATAAATTGATACCTGCCTCACCTGAAAATATAATTATTAGGGACAATAATTTTATAGATGTTTTTACACACTACAACATTGCATGTAATTGTCCTTTGATGAATCATAACCTGCCGGGATGATAATCTTCAGGTGCCGGTCGTATTAAGCGCTCTTACCAATCTAACCCGGGAGACAATTTACCTATACCCTTTTTGCTACCTGTTTTCCCAGCATTTACATTTCAGTTGAATTTCTTGAACGAGGATTAACAAAAAGCTCATAAAATCATAAATTATTTGTCGGTCGAGTACAAATCGCTCCTTTCTCTCGCTAGTGTACCCGAGCAGTGGACAGGGTAGCAAATTTGCTAGAACTTGGGCTCTAGTTGGAAACCAAAGCTGTGCCTCTCTGGAGGTACTTTCACAATACGAACACGTTTCGAATTCCTACAGTTCTGTCCGCGAGTGGTGAGCTTTGCCATGGCCAAATTTGGATGGTCAAAAGACCAAACTGCAGAACTAATTGCACGATATGGAAAAAAAGGACTATAGAAATCGCGTAGCATACACTAAAATTATTTTCAACTATACAGAGTGTTCTGTTTTTGAGGCGTAATATTCAACGTACTTTTTTAAATAGAATGCCTAATTCTAATTTTCTAAAAAATTTTTGTAATGAAGCGGTTCACAAAAAAATCGCAATCGTATTAATTTTAAGATCTGTGTTATAATATTTTATGGGGAGGTAAACAAAAGTGCGTGCTTTGCTATGGTATCAATTAAATTAATTTCTAATATGCTGAGTGTTTATAAAAACAAAACTAAAATATTAACAATTTTCAAACATCGTTATTTCCGTCAGCCCATTCTCTACTTTTACGTTTTCTCGACCTTTCATGACCCCTAGAGTACGAAAAAATAAGTCTCTAGTTTCCGTCTGTCTGTCTGTCCGTCTGTCTGCCGTCCCGATTTTTATTAGACAGATAATCTCCAAAAGTACTGGGTCGATTCCAGATTTTTGGAAAAGAAAACATAAAACAACATTTTACAATTTAATTTTGATTCTTACAGCTGTTTTAAAGTTATGATAAGCATAATAAACTTTTAATCAAAATATATTTGCTTATCCCCTCCAAAAAATTGATAACGTCAGTTCAAAATTTTGCCGAATAATTTCCACCCGAAATGTGCAAAATATATATGATCAGTATAATACTTGTAATTTATTATTGTGTTCATATTTTTTAGATTTGCTTATACAGGGCGACTCAAAAAAAAATGAATGCGTGATTTTAGTTTCCGAATAACACAAGAATTGCAAAACTGAATAGGTACTTTGAAATCTTCCAGACGTTTTAAGGTTATTGTAAGCGTGGTAAATTGTTAATCAAAACATATATGTTTATTCCCAACAAAAACTTGATGACGTCATCTCAAAATTTTTCAGAATAAATTCTATCCAAAGTGTGCAAAATATGTTGAGTTTTTAATTGTGATTTATCACTGCATTCATATTCATCTACTGTTATTTTTAGTATTATACTGCACCAATCCAAGTTGATATACGTGACCTTGCAAAAATGTTGATGACGTCATCACAAAATTGTGTAAAGAAAAAACTCAACTCGAAAATGTTAGATATGTTTCATAGTTCTTTCGGTGCGAGGGAAGTTCTGTCGAAACAACTTTCGACCAATTTTTTACATTTTTAAGAGATATGTGGAAAGAAGATTTTACATAATATTAAATAAGAGTAATAATTGCAATGTTGATTTAATCAAAATCAACTCTACATTAAAATTATTTGACATTATAATAGAGGGTGGGATCATATGAATGTGACAACCTGTGACACAGAAAAGAAAGGTCCAAAAACCCCAAAATGTACGTGACATAACCTATGGAGAACACCTTATTTTGTTCAATGATTTACATAATACTTTTACATATGTACCTGATACAAAAAAATCGTAATGTTACTATTACTCTTTCATGAATAGAAATAGCATCGTGCATTTGCGTATTTCTTAGCACAATTTTAGGTCCAGATAATAATTTATGTCCTCTTACTACCTGTTTTCACAGCTGCAATATTTTACCGTATTTCGTGAAAAATAAATTAACAAAAGGCTCGTAAAATCATAAATTCTTTGTCGGTTCGAGTAAAGAGGGTCCATTTTCCTCGCAAGTGCAACTGTGTAGTGGACAGGGTTTTGAGAGCTTTGTCTGATCGACATCTATCGGCGAGCAAAATTTGCCAAAATATCCTCTCAAATCGACAAGCCCTTGAAAGTAACTCTCGCGAATTCTCGCCAAGTCACTCTCCAGTGGACACGTACCTTTACATGAAACGCCTCAGAGCGAGGTAACGCCGTAACGCCGCATGAGTCATGTTTTTTCGTGCGTGCAGCCGGCTCAATCGAATTATAAGACGTTGTCACGTCAAAAAAACTTCAACGTCAAAATTCGTGGCCGTTTGCTTAAAAAATGATACAGTACCTTAAAACAGATGAAAAACCATGTAAAAAGTAGCTTAAATAAATGAAAAAAAAGTTGGGTGAATCGTACGATTTTACTTTCTACTGACTTCAAATTAAAAGTTTCATCTAAAATGTCCGATAATCCAATCCGAGTCCTTTAGATGAGAACTGGATTTGAAATAAAAAACAATGCATTTGGAATCACCAAAATTTATATTTGGTAAATATAAATTAAACAACACTTACCTATACATATGGCAATATTGTAACATGATGTCATTATTGTTTTAGAGGGGCATAAACGAAAAAAAATTGATTAACGATTTACCATGCCTACGATAACTTCGAAACGTTTGCAAAATTTTCGAGCATTCCATTTTGCAGTTCAAAGTTGATATTTTTCCAAAAATCTGGATGTCTAGGATAAGAACGCAACAGCGGTTCATAAACCACATGGGCAGGAGTACCTTATTATGTTATAAAATTTAAATAATATGTACTACTGTAAATTTTGGAGATGACGTCAAAAAATTTTTGGTGGGGACGATTAGCCAAATTTTGATTAGCCTTTACCATATACATGATATTGGTAATACACATATAAAATTGGTTCAGTGGTTTCAGAAATAATCTGTTTAGTAAAATATGTGTTTTTTTATGCGTATATTATATTTTTAAGAATAATACTTATTTATTACATTTGTAATTGTAACATCCTGGATATGAGAAAAATGTGTTGTCTCAAAAAAAAAGTAGACTGTTTCCAGCGTCACAATCCGACACTGCCTTAATTTCAAAGATTTTATACTCTTTTTTATTATGGTGGTTCTAACGTGAAAATGTTTGAATCTTTTATTACTCCTATCTATATTTTAGTCTAATATATATTTTTTTATTTTATGTAGACAGTAGATCAAACTTTGACCCCATTACCGTGGACAGTTTTAATTACCCCAAGAGATTTGTAGTAACCAAACAGCCTTCACTGAATAGTGTTGAATACTTTTGGAATCTAGTTATGAGCTATGAAGTTGAAATGATAGTATCTTTAAACCAAAAAGACGACAAAGGCAAGGTAATATTTTTTTTATATTTGATTGTGAAATTTATTATCACGGATAAATTTTGTACTGAACAGGATTGTCCAAGGTTTTGGACTACAGATCCTCGACAAACCTGGTCCTTAGGTGAATCCTGCAAACTGACTTTTCTGAGTGAAGACAATCACACTGATGTATTTGACATCTTTACCATGAAAATTCACAATACGAGTAACAATGATGAGAAAATAGTAAAAATTATAAATGTCAAAACCTGGGATGGTACCAGTGTTAGACCTTTAAATATCAAAGATCTAATTTATGTTTGGGACAAAACTGTACTCTACAATGGACAAATTATTGTCACCTGCTAGTAAGTGAATATTAACTGTTTATTTGTGTTTAATTTATCGTTGAATTCGAAGTGATGGAAAAACAGCCAGTGGCCTTTTTGTGGCTTTGGCCTATTTATTGGAAAAAATCAACACTGATCGTTGTTGTAACGTTTTTAACGTCGCCAGGAGTGTGAAGCAAAGTTGTCCACATTTCCTTAAAAATCCTGTAAATTTTTTAACACTACGCGATTTGAGTATTTTGATTTGTTTGGTTTTTTTTCAGGAACAAATTAAATTTCTCTACGAAGCAGCTTTAGAATATGTCCGAGAATTTGCTCTTTATGAAATTGTAGTTTAGCTAATGTACTTTTTGTTTAATAACTGCGAATAAAAATTTTGTACGATTATTTGCTTTGTCTTAATTTCCAGAATGGTTAGGTTAAAATTGTGCTTTTTGTCCATTTATTTACGTGGCCTCTTTATTGGAAACATATTTTTGTTAATTTAACGACATGCTATAAATGTGTAATTACAAGCAAGTCACTTCATAAATCTTGCATTAATAACAACAAATCGTTGGAAATGTTGTATGTCACTGTCGAACATTCTAATTGTGTAATCAACCTTTCCATGTACAGTTCCACAGAAAAATGAGCTTCAAACTTCTGCGTGTGATTTTCAAGCTTGGAAAAATTCTGGCCGTCACCCCTGATTACAAAAATAGAAGACTTCTTGCTCGTCAAAAAGTTTACGCCTATTTAATGTCAGGATTCATCACAGTCGCTCTTGGAGTGGCATTAATGTACCGGAAGCCCGACTATTCGCAATACGATCTCATGAATTTAGTTATTCAGCTACTCTTGGATGGTAACTTGTACATACTAAACATCTACACTATTTTAACCGTCTCTTGGTAAAAACCCCTGTGGCACAAATTAATAAAAAACTTAAAAATCGTCAAAACCGACACAGTCAAGGAACCATCGTTGTTGCTTCCTTTTGTAATTACAAACATCATATACTGGAGTTACCAAATCTACATGACCTACATTTTTTACAAACACATTTTGGGTGTAGAAATTTTTAAGCAGTTCGCCATTGAATACCTTCAACTTTACGACCAATATTTGATCAATTATTTGTTTTATGTTTTCGCGAAAATGTTGCTCGCTAGGTATCAAACTTTGAGAATAAAACTGCAGCACCAGTTCTGGTCGCTGCAAAAGCTTGATCGAAGAACACAAAATTATTGCTTCGTTGGATTTCAGCAAATTACAACGGAATTTTGCCTGTTGAAAGAAACTGTTGACATTGTGAATAACATTTTTGGCTGGCCACTTTTATTAATCACGGCTTACGCGACCCTACAAGCACTGATATATCTTCAAGGGACCATCGTTATTTTCAACCACTTGAGTCGTAACATGGTTATTTACGTTACTGTGGTAATTTTATGGCACTGCGTACGTTCAATCAAATAACTATTATATCGTTTCTATTATCGAATTTCGATTTTTTAGGGTGGGATTTTAATAAATATTTCGTTGTCTGATGCGGTTTCCAATGAAGCAAGGATGATTTTGAACTTCACCTCCAATTTATACAAGTGTTACGCCATACGTGAAAACGCTCAGAATTACAACCAACTTTATCAAATTGTTGTCGTTATGAAGCATCATATTCCACATTTCTCGGCTGCTCGTTTTTTTGTTATTAACAGAACGACAATATGTGGGATTTGTAATATCTTAATAACGTTTTTAATTGTTATGATTCAGTTTGAGGCTAAAAATACGGTAAACAGTTCAACGCATTGTCAAAATAATGTTGAAGTCAAATCTAATGTTACACTTTTTGAAAATGCATGAATTTACCTAAATATGAAATTTCTTGGTATTTTATTTTTGTCTTATTAGTTTTTAGTTCTCTTCGTTTGAAGATCTACATGAAAAATAGGGATAGATTCGTGATCCTGAGAGAATTTTGGTTCAGAGAGTTATTTTTCCGGGAAAATTTGGGCAACTTTTAAATTTCGTGTATAAATGGTGGAGGCGCCAGAATAAAAATTTATTTCTCACTTATTTATTGATAAGAAGATATAAAATTCGTGAAATTTAAAAAATATTATTTTGATACTTTTATATACGCAAGCAATATTAAATACTTTGAATCCTTTACATAATAGCATGAACATCGAAATTAGTCAATTTGTTCCAAATATATTATATCAAGTTTCTTTTTTTTTAATATTATTTTTATATTTAATTTAGCTTTGGCATTTTGAGAATATATAATATATTAAAAGAATTTTTCCTATTAATTTTTCACTTCCATGTATTTGTTATTACTTGGTCCCTGTATGAAAATTTATAACCTACATTATGCATATCCTAAAAATGTCAATAAATCTGTTTGTAATTCCCATTATTTTCTTTCTTACTGACCCTAATTTCGTTCCTTATAAAAAAAAAAATTGTTCAAAGTCACGAAATAGTTTTGCTCATTGAAACTTTTCCTACCCAGTCGTTTGCATATAATATTAATTCAGCTTATACTCAGTTTTTTTTAATAAACTCAAAACATTTTCAGGAAAATAGACAAACATGTTGTGAATAAACACCTGAAAAACATTCGTGATATTAATACAATCAGTCATATTCTCTTTTTTTATGTTAACGAGTACCTAAAACACCTTTTTTATTTATTTATAAAAGAACACTGTAGAAAAATACCAATTTCTGGCATAAGATGGGTCATCAACTTTTACGGTTAGTGGGAAAATTGTTGTAGTGAGATAAACTGCCGCTGCAATAACACTTGCAGCGATTAAAAAACAAATTTTACGGACACAACTTTGAAACACACCACAATCATGCAGTTTATGACTCCTAATTGAGTTTTTACCTGGAACGTTCAGATTTTTGGAAAAAAAAAATTAAAATTATGAAACAACATTTTGCAATTTAATTTTATATCTGCAAAACCGAATGCTTTGAAATCTTGCAGATGGTTTACAGTTATGACAAGAATGATAAATTTTTAAGCAATATATGTTTACTTATCCCCCCCTAAAAGATTGATGACGTCACCTCAAAATTTTGCTGAATAATTCCTATCTTAAATGTGCAAAATATGATGAGACTATACTTGTGATTTATCATTCCATTCATATTTTTTGGATTTGCATATACAGGGTGACTCAAAAAAATTAATGAATGTGCGAATTTATTTTATTGATTTAATCAGGAACTACAAAACCGAATGCTTTGAAATCTTGGAGATGTTTTAAATTTATCAATTGAAAAAGAAGTTACAATTGAACAAGGCGAATCCAACCTGAAAATTAGGTATCGAAATGGCACTCCAACTATAGTTAATTTAAACTGATTAATACACCCAATTACCATCCTTCGCTTAATTTATTCTATCAGAATGTACGCGGTTTGAGAACAAAAACTAATACTTTATACAGCAATATCTCTACTTGTGATTTTGACTTCATAGCCTTAACTGAGACTTGGCTAACCCGCAATATCTCAAACAGCGAAATTTTTCCTTCCCATTACGTTGTCTTCAGAAACGATAGAAACTACAATTTACTTAATTCTTCAAGGGCAGGTGGTGTGTTGTCGGCTGTAAAAAATTCTGTCACTTGCACTCAAGTTAATCTAACATCCATTAGTAGAGCATTACCAACTATCAACATAATATGTGTAAAAATTTCATTACCTAACAAAAATTATATCTTTGTAGTTACAGTTTATATTCCTCCTTCCACTTCATTCGAAGATTATGAACTTTTTACGGATTTGTTAAGCAATTTAGAAGATATTCATACAAACAAATTAATTATTGTGGGTGACTTCAACATTCCACACTTTGTCTTGAACTTAACCGACAAATTCTTCACCTTATTAGTCAATTTTGCCAATTTCATTGATCTGACTCAATACAATTGTATTCGTAATGCAAACAACCATATTTTAAATCTGGCTTTCTCAAATTTAGTAATTACAGTCGAAAAGTCAATAAATCCCTTAGTTGATGAAGACAACCACCATCCAGCATTGGAACTGGAATTTCAAGCTGATCTAGTACCTAAAAATAAAAATAAATTCCATTTAAATACGGAGTCAAAACAATATAATTTTAAAAAAGCAAACTTTCTTCAATTATATGAATCATTATTAACTGTAGACTGGTCGAAATTAAACAAAACAAATGATGTCAATGTCGCTGTTACCGCATTCTATGATATATTATACCAAAAATTTGATGCCTCAGTGCCTATCCTGAAATTCCTATTATAAAATCAGTAACGATCTCAATACGTTTAAATATCGTAGGTCATTGTGCAAAACACTTACTAAAAACGCTTACACGGCATACATACACAACATCGAAAATCAAATTCAGAAGGATCTAAAAACTTTCTGGTCTTTCTTACATAATAAAAGAGAGTCTACTAGAATTCCGGGAACTATGTCATATCAGGATTTAGAGTTATCATCACCGACTGAAATTGTGAATGCTTTTGGTGCTTATTTTAGCAGTGTTTTCATTAGTTCCGATCCAAGTATTGATAACTCTCATAACTTCACTGGAAAGGACATTCCTAATGCACTTGTTTCAATCTCAGACATTACCGAAGAAGAAATTTTGCTTGCGTTAAAACGATGTAAACAATCTCTTACTTCAGGTACCGACTTAATACCTAGTTTTATACTGAAAGACTCCGCTTATGTATTAGTCAAACCGCTGCATTATTTATTTAACTTAATTTTGAGGACATCTTCTTTTCCTGAAAAATGGAAAAAGGCAACGGTTACACCAATTTTTAAGAAAGGCGACCCTTCTATGATACAAAACTACAGACCTATATGTTTACTGTGTAATTTTGTCAAAATCTTTGAAAGTATTCTTTATGCAAGGATATATTCTAGCATCTAGCATCAAAAGTTACATAACGACATTTCAGCATGGATTTGTAGAAAAAAAATCAACTGTCACTAACTTAGTTTCTTTCTGTCAATACGCTGCTGAGGCTATAGGTCACCAAAATCAGCTAGATTACCAAAGCTTTTGATCATATCGATCATTTTCTGCTTCTCAAAAAACTCCAGTGCTTTGGCTTTTCCAAACCGCTTTTAACTCTTATTAAATCGTACCTCTTTAACAGAGATTTGGTCGTGAAATACCGTAACTTAATGTCTCAGCTTTTCAGCCCAAGATCCGGTGTGCCGCAAGGGTCTAATCTGGGCCCCTTGCTGTTCATATTGTTTATTAACGATATAGTTGATGGGCTGAACTGCAATAAACTGTTATTTGCTGACGACTTAAAACTTTTCTTGGAGGACAAATCTTTGAGCGATTGTCAACAACTTCAATTAGATTTAAATCGTCTAAT